TGACATATTGGAGGTTATAAAGGACTCAAAGATTATCATGAGGGGTGTAAGGAAGCATAGGTCATACTCATTGGAATGAGAGGTATTAGTTGGGTCAATAGCTTTAGTTTCTATAAGAAATGTGTCAAGAAATAAGTTGTGGTATAGAAGTTTTGGACATGTGAGTGAAAGGGGTTTGGTGGAGCTCTGTAAACAAGGCCTATTATGTGATGAGAAAGATACTTTATATGAACATTGTGTTTATGGTAAGACATGTAGAGAAAATTTTGGAGTTGGTCAACAAAGAACTAAAGACACCTTGGATTTGATACATATTGATCTATATGGACCATCTAGAACTCTATCTCATGTTGGTGCTAGAAACTTCCTAACTTGTAATTTCTTATTCAAGATCATAGTTCTCTTGTGATCTCTTTGTAATAAAGTTGAAGGTTGTTAGTTAAATGCATAAAAATCTTGGGTTAAAGTTATTGAGTCGAGCCTATGTAAAATCTCTAGTTAGAGTTGAGTCTGTGTAAAAGCTCAGATTACTTGTAGAATGTTTGTAGGGTAATCTTGTGCAAAATTTCACGTTGTTTGTAAGATTGTTTAGGTTGATTATGTATTAAATCTCAAGATTATTTCAATGGAAATTTCAAGGGGAAACTCTTGGTGACTGGAGTAGCTCAAGTGGCTTAGGCCGAATTAGGATTAATCTCTGGTGTGATCTTTAAATCCCTTATCTGTTTTATTTATATTATTTATCTTTTCTGCGGCTTATTTCTCCGCCTTTTCTCTTCTATTTTATTTCGCTGCTTTATCTTTGTCTATTTATCTCTTATAACATAAACGATTTAAAATCAAATATTTTTTTATAAAAATCTATTTTTTAAAAAATTTGAGTAACACAATTCACACCCCCAACTTGTGTTTGGAGTCACTTAGTCAATAACTACCTCTAGTGGGAAACAAAAGAAGGTATACATGCTGAAAAAATCAATGCATGGATTGAAACAAGCATCTAAAGCTTAGAACAAGAGAATTCACAACATTCTCATCAAGATAGAATTCAACAAATGCACATCAGAACATGTAATGTATGTGAAAGGTTAAAGTGAGTAGAACCAAATTATTATATGCTTATATGTGTATGATTTACTGGTAATAGAATTAAATGAAATTGTCGTATTAAGATTCAAGGTCATCATCAAATATGAATTTAATATATCAGACCTAGGGAATTTGGTATATTTCCTAGGAATGGAATTCGTTAACATAAAATTTGTTTTTTTTTGCATCCGAAAAAATATGCAGAAGATATCTTAAAGAAGTTCAAGACAAAAAATTGCAACCATGCAATAAACTCATTGAAATAAGTAAAAATTTGAAGGGCACACGTGACGAACTTGTGAATGCAACCTTATATAAGCATATCATTGACTCACTAAGATACATATGCAACACTAGACTTGATATTTTTTATAATGTTGCCTTGGTAAGCATATTCATAGAGAAATCAAGATCATGTCATCTACTTGCAGTAAAAAATATATACATATGCATACTTATGTCATATCATAAGAACAGTAGAAAGAAGACTAATGCTTATGGATATTCTAACTCAAATCGTGGAAGATATCAAGACGACCGAAAAAGTACAGTATGGTAAACTCTATTATTTCGTGAGGCAGAGTATAGTGTAGCCTCTTATGCAACTTTTAAGCATTATGGATGAAAATGATCTTGGAAGAATTGAAGTTTTTTGAGGTTGTGAAAATCAAGTTGTTAATGGACAACATATCAAGAATTGATTTGACTAATCCAACATGAAAATAACAGAATTTTTTTTAAAGTAGCAATGTTATATAATTTAATTACCAAATAAAACAAGCTTTCAAAAATGACAAACTTTGAAACTCGTCCAGCAAGCATTCGCCAAATGGTTTGGCGAATTAGTTAAAATGTTGTTTCAAGGCATTCGCCAAATGGAATGGCCCATTTGGGAATTGGTCAATTTGTTGTCGCCACATGAATGGGCGAATGTGGCTAATTTTTAGGGTTTCCAATTTTTTTTCGTTTTTCTTGTTTTTTTATCATATATTTAAAGTTTTAAAAATTTATTTGTTTTTTGATTTTAATATCATTATTATTAGTAACTATAAAATATATTAATTTATAATATAAATAATATTAATATAATTAAAATATTATTATTAGTAACTATAAAATATATTAATTTATAATATAAATAATGATTGAATCGAAGGATAAATTTTTTTTTTTTAATAATTAATTTAAGATTTATTGAGTCTTCTTCTCATTCACCACAACTTACTAATGAAACTGATCACACAATGTCTTCGATGAATCATACGAAGACCGAAATTTAATTTGTATTTTTTTTTCTTGTTGACTTGGTTGTAAGTTAGATTGTTTATTTTTTTTTAATTTAGTTGGACAAATAATTATTACTAACTCGGTAGTTAGAGTCATTTTTAATAACGTGACTCTAGCAATACTTGTTACTAACTTTATAACCGTTTTTAGTAATGGGTTGTTCTATGTAATTGAATTTATCTTATTTAAATTTAAAACATTTTAAATTAAATTTTAATTTTTAAATTTTGGTTATTTTAATATTTAAAGTTTATAATGTTTTAAAATTTTATTTAAACTATAAAATTATTGATTATGTACTTGAAAAACATTATAAGTTTTCATTTTTGTTTTATTTTAAATTTATTATTAAAATAACTATAACATAAATTTAATATTTTTATATTTAAAAATTTATTAAAACTAAAATTTGTGATTTATCTGTGGTTATTTTATGCAGATTTATTTGAGGATCTTTTTGCCAAATATATTACTCATAATGGTTTTAGTTGGTAATCAAAAAGTCAGAAAAAACCATTTTATGCAAAGATTTAGTTAAAATATAGAAAAGGTTGTTCGAATGATTTTGACTATCTATTTTGATTGTATTCTTAAATTATTTTAATTGACTTCAGTTTATAGTTTTTGTTAAAATATTGTACTTTTAAAGTAAGGGATTTGTTTCATAAAAAAAAGAAAAAGATGTTACTTATTATTTTCTATGTATTAGACTTATTAATATAATGCAAATAATATGCTAAAGTTAATATTTTTAGTATTTTCTAAACAAATTATCAAGTGTGTTACAATGACATTATAACATTTAAAATTTAAATAATCGTAAAATTCACATCATACTATTAACAATTTAAGAATTGAGCATTTATAAATTTCAATCCACAAAAATGATAAAGTTATTTAGAGAATCAAAAGTATATCTAATTGAATTAATAAGTCCGGTGTTAAATTGCTCTCTAATAGTACTAAAAAAAATTTCAACAACTTCACCCATGATCTTTCCATACCAAAATGTTGAACATAAGATTTACCTTTCAACCATGAATTCGAATGTTGAACATGTTATTCACCTTTCAACGGTGAATTAGAATGTTGAACATGAGATTCACCTTTCAACATTTATGAACTATCATGTTGAACATAAATATAACCTTTCAATGATTATTATAAATTTTGTAACAATGTCAAATTTTAATTTTTCATTAAAAGTTTTTCGTAAGTTACAATATGGATATTTGGGTCTTAAATTTTTTTGATGCTTAAGATAAATAATATTTCTTTCAATTTATAATTGAATGAATTATGTATCATCTTTACCTATAAGACACACTTTATCTATCATTTTTGTGGATTGAAATTTTTAAATGCTCAGTTTTTAAATTGTTAATAGTATGATGTGAATTTCACGATTATTTAAATTTTAAATGTTATAGTGTCTTTGTAACACACTAAATAATTTGTTTAGAAAATACTAAAAATATTAACTTTAGCATATTATTTACATTATATTAATAAGTCTAATACATAGAAAATAATAAGTAACAAATAAATTAATAAATTTTATAGTTACTAATGATAATTATATTTACATTATAAATTAATATATTTTATAGTTACTAATAATAATATTTTAATTATATTAATATTATTTATATTATAAATTAATATATTTTATAGTTACTGATAATAATGATATTAAAATCAAAAAACAAATAAATTTTTAAAACTTTAAATATATGATAAAAAAAAACAAGAAAAACGAAAAAAAATTGGAAACCCTAAAAATTAGCCACATTCGCCAATTCATGTGGCAACAACACATTGACCAATTCCCAAATGGCCTAATTCGCCATTCCATTTCGCGAATACCTTGAAACAACATTTTAAAGTTTGTCATTTTGGTAATTTTTTTGAAAACTTGTTTTATTTGATAATTAAATTATATAACATTGCTACTTTAAAAAAAATTCAAAAGAACAAGCATATTAAAAGAAAAAATATTTTTTAAAAAGATCAAATTAAAAATGATAGATTGAAGATTAAATATATACAATAATATAATATGTTAATAATTTAGTAAGATTAGAGTTTTTAGAAATAAATAATGTGTTTTAATATTTCTCCCTCCATTTTTTATTATAATAAAAAAATTTTAGTTTTTAAATTTATTTAATAAATAATATATTAGGTGTATATATAATTAGTGAAACTAAAATATATATATATATATATATATATATATATATATATATATATATATATATATATATATATATATATATATATATATATATATATATATATATTCAGTAAAACTAAAAATCAAAATTAGCTTATAAAATATATTTTTTGAAATTCATTCTGTGTTTCACGCTTGCTCCATATTTTCCAACAATTAAAAAATTGATACATGAGCATGACAGATTCAAGGGGGGAAAAGAACTAACTGTGACTCCGAGAGTAGTTAGTTTTTCTTTTGGAAGCATATGAAAAACGACTTAATCATGCACCATACACGTGTCACACGATGAAGCAATCTCAAAATAAAAAACTCTTCTTCATTCATTGCTCTCTCTTTGAAATAACTCCCACCAAGCTTCACTTTTCCACTTCCCCTTCACCGCCACATGCCGCCGCCCACCGCCGATTCCGGCGACATTTGCCGTTACACTCTGGAGGAAATCAACGGTTTTCACAATGGCAACACCGAATCCTCCAAACCGAAAGCTAATTCTGCCGCACCGCCGATCCCGAGTTTGTTCCGCGACGCGTTCATCGTAGTTCCGCCTGAAATTCTCCGGAGAATCATCTTTTCTTCGGCTAAAGGTTTCTCGGTTGGAGCTGGTATCAAAGGCGGTCTCGCTCTCTTCGCGATCTTGGCGCGATTCGCACGGAAAAAACCGCCAAGGTGAGAAAAATAGCTCGAACAAGTAGTCGCTCGTTTTTGTGATGATTGATTTCGCTTTGTTTGTTTAGGAAAGAGATTTTGGTGACGAACAGCGAAATAATTGTTTCGGCTCTGAAGGAAACGTTGAGATATGGTTTGTTTCTTGGAACTTTCGCCGGAACGTTTGTTTCGATGGATGAGTTTATAGGTGCTTTTGGAGGACACCGTAGGCATGTTCTTCTTTTTCTCTTGATTTTGTGTGGCAATTGATTTATTGATATTGTTATTGAAATGTACCTCAGCTCTTTAACTGTAAAGTAGTTTTTAGAAATGATTCATACCTCAATAACTTGAACTTGAATCCTTGAACTATGTTGTAAAATTGAACTATGTTGTAAAAGATTTAAATAAATGTAAATTAAGCAGGTTGGTAACTGAATGTGTAAAATTGAACTATGTTGTAAAAGATTTAAATAAATTTAATTAAGCATGTTGGTAACTGAATGTGTGTCATGGTGCTTTAACGCTGTTGACATAGTAGAAGTTTGGGTCTGCATGGGGGAATCGTACAGAGAAAGAGAGGTAAGTGAATTCCTTGGAGAGAGCTTCTATCCTTACCCTTATTGCCCTTATTGATTTGTCGGTTTCAATTAGGATTATCTCAAGTACTAAGATTAACATGCGTGTAGATTTTATCCATAAAGAAATGTTTAATTATGTGTTATGCAACTTTTTTCTTTCAATAAAATAACTAATTAAGTATATGTTCAGTTGTTTGTGTTCATAGGCTTGTGGAGTTGGTGTGATTGATTTTGCGATGTGCTTGTAGTTCAGGACGGCAAGGTGGAGAGCGCTGTTTGCAGGGGCAGTTGCTGGGCAGTCTATGCTTCTGACAGGGTTAGAAGCACAGCACACAAGCTTGGCCATTTACATTCTCATGCGTGCTGCTGTCTTAGCATCTCGATGTGGGATTAAGAGCAAACGGTTTGGGAGAATTTGTAAGCCTCTTACATGGAAGCACGGAGACATTTTCCTCATGTGTCTCTCCTCTTCCCAAATTTTGTATGTAACAATGCTATGTTCCCATTTCTCTGTTTTTTGTTTATTTAATTATTTATGCTTTTTTTAGCTCAGTCTCTCTTGTCTCTTGAATTTCATAGCAGTACCTTGGGTTCTCTTACAATGATAGATAGTCTGTTTTTCACTTGATGGCTTTACAGTTTAAGTTTGATGCATGATGTGATTCCTATTGTTATGTTCAGTTCACTGTTAAATATGCATGTATTAAAACAGATAGCTACCAAATGCGAGACAGGAAAATGTTAATATGTGTTCTCCAGTAAACCCATATCCTGCCTAATTAAATAGTTCACATAATGTGAGTGGCTGAACTTGTTCATTAAATGGGCCCTTACCTGGACTTATATTTTATCACTCATCAATTTGTGGTTAGTCGCTTGCCTTATACTACTTTTTCCTTGCTAATAGGAACCGGAGCTGCAGGGCTCTTTCCTGTCTAGTATCTTACTATGAAAATGCTGTTTAATATGAAAGGAAAACACACAATTTTGTATGAAAGTGCTTGCAACTGTAGGGTCATGTTAGATTGCTTTTACTTGCTTTTGAATAGTTGTATATCTCCTACCGTGATTTGTGAGTTGTTCTTTTTTTCTTTTTTGTACGACAATTTTCATACACAATAGCATTTCTCATACAATTGAATATATCTGTGTTTGTGTGTATGTATTGTTAGAATAAGAAATATGTATTCAATTATATCCTAGAAATCTAGAGTTGTGTTGGAAGTTCTTATATACCTCAGGATTTGTTTCCATATTTAATTAGAATTACGAACCTGGTATTAGTAGAAATAAGTTCTAGTGCTTAATCTTTCATAACTGAAACTATAATCACAATTCAAAAGTATTAATTCTTTCTCTTTCTTCCTTCATTATTTACAACCTTACCTTCAACATAGTTACAGAATTGAATTTGTCACTTGTTTTGTCACTGTTTTGCTGTTGATGCATTTTTGTGTCAGCCACTTCCACAACCTTTCTCAGAAGCTTTAGATCAGTTTGTCTCCCTGTGACGTGCTCAGCACTCTATGGTTATCTCACATAAAATTTGATTCTGCCCTTGGTTATTCTAGGTTAGTAATAAAGTTGTTGTGATCCATATCAACCTCCCATGGTGGATTTGGAAAAGTTTTTATTCATTCTTGTGTAAGATTGTCTGCCAGGAAATTTCAAAATTTCAACTAATGATCATTCTAGTAAGTCTCTTCTTCCTTGGTTATGCAACTTTGAGATTGATGATCATCGCTGCCATATGTCTTTCCAGAAATACTCATTTCTTGACATTTCCAACATCCTCATGTTGCCTTTATAGCCATGTTTTGTGAAGCCCGAATCATATTTGTCTTTTTTTAGAGGTTTATTTGTAACGTAACAAGTTTAAAGTTTATTAAGCTATAGCTTGAAGCGAAATGTCAAAATATACAAAAAAAATCTCATAATATTTGGTTGTATCTTAGTGTGATTTAGTAACTTAATAAGAGAGATTGAGATGCCACCTAGAATTATAAGGGAAAACAAGTGAGTGGGGAGGTTGAGTATATAACTGAAAATGGAAGAAAACAGCAAGAAACGATTGAGATAGTTTATGTGAAATCAATTCTGAATTCTTTGATTATATGTTAGAATGTAAGCGGTTCTATTTATAAGCCAAACTAAAGCTTAGTCAGTTCACTGATTCTAGCTAATTATAACAGAATATGACATACTCTTGACATCAATAGTAGAAGCAGTTAGACAGCAGAAGCAGTTAGAGAATTGTGTGACCAGAATGCTCAACTGAAGTTCAATACTTTATGCATACATGTAATACAATGCTAACACATTCATGTAAATAAATAATGGCTCCTGTTTTATAACCATGACCGTGCACATGCTGATTCACCATTGATAGTTTCACTTTGGGGCCATGTTTCCAATATACAGTACAAACTACAGACACACTTTACGTCCCTCTCGATTCCTCCTTTCCCTCTTTTCGCCCTCTATAATACAAGGATTAATGATGATCAAGAATCTTTTGATTTCAGGTCTGCCTATATATTATACCAAGAGAGTTTACCTGCTTCATATAAATCCTTTCTCAATAAACATGGTGGAAAGGATGCAGTTATCTTACAAGGTGTCAAAGATATAGCCAGTGGCAAGCCTTTTACTAATCTGCATGCAATAGAGAAATACTACAAGACCACGGGTGTCAACGTGAAATTAGATCCAAAGATGAAAGTCCCATGCTCGGTATGACATACCAATTTTTTTCTTATTCTTGTCATTTTTTCTTAATCTCAATCAAATTATTAATTAACCCCTTGAAAATAAATTAGAAGAAAGCATACTTATTAAACAGTATTCAATATCAAATTTGGAAGCTGAATCAGTGATGTCAAATATCGGTCATGGTGGTGCCCCGCCATGGTCGAGTTTGTGAGGAATGGCAGTGCCATGTTACAATATGTCGGATTTTGGGCTCTCCACCATTGTCTGCCATTGTTAACACTAAGCTGAATTTGACCGCACCATAACAGTAGCATCCTTTTTTACACTGATTTGTCTGCTCTATGCCATAATAAATTTATCCATTCAAGTTTAATCATATTAATAGTATTGAATTTCAGTTCTTATTTTCTCTTTTGGATTGTTTCAATTATGGCATTCTTCCCTGATGATTGATGATTGAACTGTATAACTTTGCAATTTCTGTTTGAAACATTTCATCTATCTATGTTCAATATTTAATTTGTAATCCATTAAACAAAACTTGTGATTAGTACTGCTTCATTCGGTGTTTCAAATTACTGAATTTTGCAGATTGTACATGGGAGTCAATCATGTGATGGGCACGTCGTTTCTTTTCTCGGTCAAGCCTACAAAAGAGCATTACCTGTTTATTTTCCAGTTTATCTGATACCCGCCCTAATAGTTCATAGAAAAGGACTTTTAAAAAGGTGATCTGATTAGAATCCGTCGCAACCATTCTACTTTTCATATGATTGAAGTGTTACTGTTTATGGTGATTTTTCAAATTGAATATATTACCATTGAGCAGTTACACATGCTGATTTTGTAATGAAGAGGGCTTTTCTGGACAATAAATTGTTTCTAGTAAATTGTTCCATCTAATAATTCTTGCTCTCTCAATTCTAACACTAATTGAAGACCATGTTTTGTGCTACAAAGTAATGAGATTACATTGTTTTGCACTTCATTTCTCATTGCCGTTATAAAAAAATTTAAATGCAGGCCTTTTACAATATTGACAAAGGTTCTTATTGGCACTGCAAGATCAAGCTTGTTTCTGTCAGTATACTGTACATCGGCCTGGTTAGCATCTTGTTCTGTGAACTATTATTTTGTTGCTGGTTGTCTTGCTACTAAATTAGTTTTGATTTGAAGTAATTTTTTATGATTGCTTTACCCCAGCTTAAAATTAGCTCTAACTATCTTTCTTAACAAAAAATTTTAACTCCAATGATTCTGTTAAAAGAGGAAACGGTAACATTTTGTTTTAAATACTTGCTTTTGTTTCTTGTGTTCAATTTTTTTTATTCTATGCACCTGGTAGCCTTTTCATTTTCTCATTTTTCTTTGCTTCACCTTATTGTTATTATGACAGCATCAATTTTGTTGAAACTTGAAACTGACATGTATAATATGGATGTCTCTATTCTAAATCAGGATGTGGACATGCTTTCTGTTTAGGCTCTTCAAAAGATGTAACATTCCAATGGTGGCCATGGGAACGGTGTGTTGCTTTAGTGGATATTTATATATGTTTGATTAGCAATAATTCTTAACAGTTTTTGTTATAAAGTTGACTTTGCATTTTCTTGCAGTTCCCACCTGGCCTTGGATTAGCTATTGAAAAGAAAAGCAGGCGAATGGAGATATCATTATACTGCCTTGCCCGAGCTATTGAGAGTTTCTTCACATGCATAGCTGATGCCGGGTATCTGCCACAGTCTAGAAGGATCAAGAGAGCTGATGTTGTAGTTTTCAGCTTGTCAACAGCCATCATAATGCACTGCTATGCACAAGAAAGGGAAGTGTTCAGATCCAAATATTTGAACGTTCTCGATTGGGTTTTCGGTGTACCGCCTCCTCCATGTGAAACCCCGCGATGTAAAGATGCCTAGGTTAAGTGTTAAAGCTCGCAAAGTAATTTTGTCCAAAAAAATTGCCCTGGACTTGGTGGCACATATTTGGTGTTGCCTTCTCAAAGTGAATGGTGGCCTGGGAACCTGAATTTTTCATTGAGCAGGGAACTAGAATGATTACTTGAATATATGATAATAGTCCCAGAAGCATTTTGTAAACTCGCGAAGATTGATGGTGTTTCGACCGATTATTGCTGCATGATATTTTTCATGCTAGAAGCACAAATTGGAACTAAGATCTTATTTATTGGGGTTACACACGGGGATGACTATTACTAAAACCTCCGAGGATCAACTCTTTCAGCAGTCCGGATCTATTTCCTGCTGCCATACTTCATCATCCTTTGTGTCCTAAGCAACTTGATAATTGAAGTATGGGCTTTTTGACCCTTTAATATGAACTTTTTATACTTTTCAATGAAATGATATTGATTTTACAGTTATTTTTTTAAAATGAATTCTGTCATGTCTCTGCAACTTTGAGCATTTTTTGACAGACTTTTAGCTAATGAAAGTAATACACGTTCTCTCTTGAGATTGAGGTGAGAAATTTTATAATAACTAAAAATATCTTGAGATTGAGGTGAGAAATTTTATAATAACTAAAAATATCCGTGAATTCATACTTGTCTTGATTTGTACAGTTAATAAATATATAAAATCAAGATTATTATTATTATTATTTATAAATCCTTGAATTATAATCAAATATTAATATATTATTTTAAAAGACAGAAATATTATTATATTTATCACTAATTGAACTTTAATATGAACTTTTTGACCCTTTAATATGAACTTTTTATACTTTTCAATGAAATGATATTGATTTTACAGTTATTTTTTTAAAATGAATTCTGTCATGTCTCTGCAACTTTGAGCATTTTTTGACAGACTTTTAGCTAATGAAAGTAATACACGTTCTCTCTTGAGATTGAGGTGAGAAATTTTATAATAACTAAAAATATCTTGAGATTGAGGTGAGAAATTTTATAATAACTAAAAATATCCGTGAATTCATACTTGTCTTGATTTGTACAGTTAATAAATATATAAAATCAAGATTATTATTATTATTATTATTATTATTTATAAATCCTTGAATTATAATCAAATATTAATATATTATTTTAAAAGACAGAAATATTATTATATTTATCACTAATTGAACTTTAATATGAACTTTTTGACCCTTTAATATGAACTTTTTATACTTTTCAATGAAATGATATTGATTTTACAGTTATTTTTTTAAAATGAATTCTGTCATGTCTCTGCAACTTTGAGCATTTTTTGACAGACTTTTAGCTAATGAAAGTAATACACGTTCTCTCTTGAGATTGAGGTGAGAAATTTTATAATAACTAAAAATATCTTGAGATTGAGGTGAGAAATTTTATAATAACTAAAAATATCCGTGAATTCATACTTGTCTTGATTTGTACAGTTAATAAATATATAAAATCAAGATTATTATTATTATTATTATTATTTATAAATCCTTGAATTATAATCAAATATTAATATATTAAAAGACAGAAATATTATTATATTTATCACTAATTGAACTTTAAATCAATAGCTAATATGAGTTTGACTAACACATCATTTGATGAATTATGTATTTGTTAAAGAAAGTACTAACAACTTCTAATGACTAAGAATTGTAAGAAGTTTAAGTATATCGAGAGGTAGCTTGCATATGGGGTAAGAAGTTTGTAAGTTTGTATATGTGGAATGTATCGAAATGAGATTCTTTATCTCAACTTCAATGTTGAAGTATTTACAATTGCCTTGCAGGAGTGGGTAGTTATTCTACCACTATTTTGGAAAATGTGATCAAATGATTCTTTTTGTACCGTTACAAAATGGAAACATGTCATTTTTCACTTTCCTTTATAGGACGATCATTTTTAGAGGAACACGGTATGTTCAATAAAGAGATGACACATTTAGTAAATAAATATCTAACTAAAGTCTCTTATCTCCGTATTGCACTTTATAGATCCTTTTCAAATGCATCAATACAAATGGTAAGTATCAACAATTTATTTATAAATATATTATTTAAAATTACAAAAGAATGTCGTTGTCAAAAATTGAATGTTAAATCAATAGTTTATATTTAGTTCAACTATCATATATCAATTAATTGAGTTATCTCATTTATTATGTAAAAGTTATCATTTTAAAATATATATTTATATATAAAAATAGAAAATAGAAAGTATTATTTTTAAATAGAAAGTTTTCATATTAAGTATTCTCTCAGCAATTCCATTAAAATTCAATTTTGCTATTTTTTTAAAAGATCCACATCATGTTAAAAAAAGTGAAACAAAATAAGTAAAATCTAAATAGAAGTACATTAAATAAAACAAATTGTAGATAAATTAACAATTAATATCTTTAAATTATTTTAAAATTTATTAAATTAATAAAATAATAAAACACTTTTTTTTAAAAATATTTTTTAATATTTATAATAGGCGCAGAGAAAAGTAGATTGTGCTTTACATTTAACTCTCAAAACATTTGTTTTATTAAAAATAGATTATTTTGTTAGCTTTTGTAAATCATATTGTGGCATATGAAAGAAAAAGATTGTGCACATTTAAAAATATATAATATTGCGCACATTTAAAAATATATAGTTTAGTCTAAAAATATCTTCGAGTTAACAAATTAAGCTACTAAGAAAATCATTAGACAAGCGTATTTTGAATAAAATATATAAAATATAAACTACAATTTTAACTTTAGTCTAATTTTATTTACTTTTTTTTTTCTTTCAACGAGGGAGATGAGTAATGCATTGAAATGATTGAGTCAATTGCTTATGGTAAGGTCAAATGTAAGGAAGGTATGACGATTTGTGTATGTGAGTAGGGGTCGTAGTAGTGTGATTTGAAAATGAGGTAGTTGTGACCGTTGAACACATTTTGAGTAGAGAGAATTGGTTTCTTGTAGTGGTATTTTATGAGAATAGGTTGGATGAGAGTTAAGAAAGAGTGTCTCGCTTGTATCTAAAAACTCATAATTAGAGATTGGAAGAGCATTTAAGATTGAAAACGATAATGTATTTTTATCAAAAGTGATATGTCTAGAAATAATTCTTACGTTTCGAGAACTCATAATATTTATAACCTCTATGATTTGAAGGATAATCCAAAAATACACAGTTTTAAAGAGGACCGTAATGTATTTCTAGAGTTAGATGGAATAAGAGAATAACAAAGACAACCAAAGACTTTAAGATGAGAGTATGACTAGTCTTTTTGGTAGAAAATTTTATTGTAAGTTTTTAGAGAACTTTTTATTAGGGAGGATGTTGAGGAGAAAAGTGGTCATTTGTAGTGTATGATGCCAAAAATGAGATGGGAGAGAGGCATAAGTAAGGGTGCAAATGATATTATTGATGGTGTGGATTTTTCTTTCATCGTTTTTGTTTTGAGAAGAGATGTGGAGACAAGAAAATTCAAATTTCACTCCATTTAGTTTATAAAATTTATGAAAATGTATTTGTCATACTCTTTTCCGTTATCACATTGAAAATATTTATTTCTCTTTCAAATTGTGTTTTAATAGGAGTATGAAATTAAAGATAAATGAAATGTACTTGAGATTTATTTGCAATTGCAAAAGTCCATAAAAAATTTGTGAAATCATCAAAAAATAAAGCATAATAAAGATGTCCACCTAAATTTAGATCATGTTACGTCCAAGTATCACTATGGACAATATCAAAAGACAACGAAACATAAAAAAAAGATTTATAAAATAGTAATTTTATTTGTTTTTCAAGAAGCAAGAATGCAAATAAAATAATAATAATAATAATTTCTAAAGTTTATCATAGAAAATGAATTTGTTTTGATGAAGAAATTTTAAAATCGGATTGTCCGGATGTCATAAGCAGTTATGTCATACTTCTTTGGATAAAACAACAAAGGTGAATGGTGAGGGGTTAGTAGTGGTTGGTCTTGTGGTAATTGGATAGAGGACATTCGAGCTATCACATCTCATTAAAAGAGTTACTGTCTAAAAATCCTTCACAAAAAAACAAAAGGATCGAATTCAACTGAAATGTCATTATCAATGGTAAATTTCCTTACAAAAATAAGATTTCTAATTAACTTTGGTGATGTAAGACGTTGTTTAGGGTTAGGTAATGATGAGGATTAGGTACTAATACATTTCCACAACTAATAATTGGAATATTATTATCACTACCAATAGTAATATTATTGATCAAGTTGGATTAGATGTGAGATTACCTCCATTTGGAGTCATGTGATAAGTGACTCTGGTTTCCATGTACCACTTATCATCAGAAGGACCCATATATAGAGTACGTCGTGTAGCTCGTGTGGATCTGTGCTTACAAGTATGCAATTGATTATCCTAATATTGACAACCTGCTTGGTGTTTTGATGACGACAACATTGATGAATGTTAAAGTCAATGGTGATATCTTTCCAACTCTTTGATATTATCGATTAAATTGACGATATCTCAAGTCTCCTCAAGTATAAGGTTCAAGGTTCCATTGAAATGCTTATATGATCTCTATTTTTCAAAGGAACTTGAAATCTTCAGAGTTGTGAAAGAGAGGAAGTGCGAAAGTTCGTTTGGTTGTGTCTATTTGAGTGACTATAGTCTTATAAAAATAGGAGAGTAACTCTTAAGATACTAAGGCAACTCACACACACACACATAAAACACTTTTTAGACATCTATTTACTTAACAAAATCACTTGAAAATGTTTTCAAGACCCAGTCAGTTGATTATGGGATTAACTATTTTATTAGGAGACTTTTAATAATTTTCTAATCGATTATATATTTTATCTAATCAATTAGATGAATCCTAATAAAGTCTATAATCAATTATGGAAGTTTCTTAATGATTGGAAATGGCTCTATATCAAAACCTTTCTCATGGGACTTAACAATCAATAATTTAATCCACCTAATTG